ATTTCCAAAGCAGACACTTGACCTCTCCTTGACCTCGTTTAGTGGGATCTCCAGGAAGGGGAGGAGACGCAGGAAAACCTTTCGTTTACTCGGGTTCCATTAAGAGAGAGAGAGAGAAAAAAGTCTTTTCAACAACCAAAACGGGTTGAATTCGACACAGCAACGGTACACATTCCTTTTAGATTTTCTTTTATCTTTTAAGCAGCCAGGACAGTCTCTAATTAACTCATATGATTAGCCTCAGACTCGATCCCTTTAGATTATTCCCTTGTCGATTAAGTGTTGAAATGTTGATACGATGCATATCCCCTATCACCCCCCTCCCCCCATCCTTCTTAAAAAAAAAGAGGGAGGGCGGAAAACAAAATAATAATCAAGAAGCGAAATACCAAGAGAAGCGACGAAGCGTTTCCCCGCAATCCCGGCTAATCATTTTAATTCTAATTGTCTCAATCAGTTGGACAAAGTTTCACTCAAGACCCGGCCACGAACTACTTCAAACCGAGGAGTTCCTGGCGGCGACGCTTGCTGAATTATACTTAATTGGGCTCTTCCAAGTTCAGGCTTCTTAGCTTAATTCACCTGATGTCAAAGTGTGCCTCAGCCTGCCCTCATTTACTCCCCCCCTCCCCCCACCTCCAATCCTCCTCTTCTGCTCTCTCTCCTCTTCTTCCTGCGTTCTTGTCGTTCTTTCACTTACTTCTCCTCTCCCTCTCGTTCTTTCTCTTATCCTCTCTTCTCTTCTTCCTGCCTTCTTGTCGTTCTTTCTCTTACTTTCTCCTTTCCTTCTCGTTCTGTCTCTTATCCTCTCTTCGTCTTCCTGCCTCCTTGTCGTTCTTTCTCTTACTTCTCCTCTCCCTCTCGTTCTTTCTCTTATCCTCTCTTCTCTTCTTCCTGCCTTCCTGTCGTTCTTTTCTTACTTCTCCTCTCCCTCTCGTTCTTTCTCTTACTTCTCCTCTCCCTCTCGTTCTTTCTCTCTCTCCTCGTCTTCCTGTTTTCTTGTCTTCTTTCCCTTCCTCTTCCTCCATCTCCTTCCATTCTTCCTCTTCCGCCTTCTCATGTCCTCTTCCTGTCTCCTTGTCGTTCTTTCTCTTACTCCTCTTCCTCCTCCCAATTTTCCTCTTCCGCTTTCTCCACGCCTCTCCCTGCCCTCGTTATATCTTCCTTCTCTCATTCCTTCCATTTCTTTCTTCTTTCTCTGATGCCTCCTCTCTCTTCCCTTTTCTCTTACTCTTCCTACTATTCCCCTACTCTTAAGTTTCCCCTTCGTCTACGTTTCCCTTTTCTCTCGTCTCTTTAGCCTCCTCCGCCTCTCTTTCTCTACCTTCTTTCTCCTTTCCCCTTCCTTCTTCCTCTTCCTTTTTCCCCCCTTCCCCTTCCTTCTTCCTCCCATTTACCCTTCTCCTCCTTCCCCTTCTTTCTCCTTTACCCCTTTCCTCTTCCCTCCTCATACTTCCCTCTTCCTCGCTGCCTCTTCCCATCTTTCCTCTCCAGTCTTCCCTATGTTCTTCTCCTCCCCCTAACTCCTTTCTCCATCACCTATCCTCTCTCCCTCCCTTCCCTCTTCTTTCCTCTCCTTCCATTTTTTCTTTCCCCCTGCTTCCCCATTTCTCTCCCCTTTTCCCTTCCCATTCTTCCTCTCTCCTCTACCCCTTTCTCTCAAAGTTTTTCCCTTTCTCTCCTCCATATCGCTCTGCATACTCTTTTCACTTTTTTGTTTTTTTTTTTCACCGTTTTTCTTTCACTTTCTGGTTGATTCTGTTCTGCCTTACACTCTTTCTTTTTTTCTTTCCTCTTTATTATTTTTTCCCCTTTTCTCTTTCTTCCATTCCTATTTATTTACTCTTTACTCTATTCCCTTTTTCTTTTTCATATTTTACTTCTCTCTCTTTCTTCTCTTTTTTCTTCTTTACTCTTTTCCTTTCCTCTTTCTCTTTTCTTTTTCTTTCCTTCCTCCTTTTCCTCATTATTCTTTTCTTTTTCCCTTTCCTCATTTACTCTCTCTCTTTTTCTTCCGCCTTACTCTTTTTTTTCCTTTACTCTTACCCTACTTTTCTCTTGCTTTCTCTTTTTCCCTATCCCTATTTTCCCTATCTCTTGCCCTTTCTCATTTTCTCCTTGTGTATCAAACCTCCTGTTTTCCCTCTTTCTCTTTCCACTTCTCCCCCTCTCTTCTTTAGCCTTTCTCCTCTTCTTTCTCCACTTCCTCTTTGCCCCTTAACCTCTCTCCTTTATTACTTTCTATTCTCTTTTTCACTCTCGCTTATCCACCTTCTCATTCCCCCCCCCCCCCCACACACACACACATCTACCCTACATCTAGTACCATAATTTGAGCACCTTATCTTCTCTAACCCCTCTCCCTTCCCCCTTTTCCTCTCACCCCTCTCCACCCCCTCTTTCTATACCCCCTCTCCTCTCTACGTTCTCCTTTTCTACTTCCTCCCCCATTCCCTATATTCCTTTTCTCCTTCTTCCTCTCCCTTTTCGCTTCTCCTCCCTCGCGTTTCCTTTCCCCCTGCTCCCGTCCCCCTTTTCCCTTCTCCCCTCTCGTTTTCCTTTCTCCTCTCTCTCTTCTCTCCCCTCTTCCTTATGCCAAAGAACGTACTCTCCTCTCAATTTAATCTCTTGCTGTTGCTCATCCTTGCAATCAGAAATCCAGGAAAGAGCGTTGTTGCAAGCCTGAAATTGGCTTCAACATAATTATAGCCCGGTAATGCCATTTCAAAGTGATGGCTTCCAGAATGACATTACGGGTAAAACGTTGCAATGATATTTAAAAAAAATTATATTGGGTATGTATTATAATTTTTTTTTGAAGTGCATTCATGTGAAGGATGTTAGCATTGGGAGTTTTAACAAATCTATTTAGCTTTTGTTATTTATCATTTTATCTAGTTATGTATACTTTCAAACATACACAGCCATCGAATCTAAAAACTTTTCGCCATTCTAATCGACAATTTTCTAATCACAATAACTTTGATAATTGTTATCATTATCATTACAGGTTACCTACCTATATTTGCGTTTATTTTTCATTATACGAAGCAATTAAAATCTTGCATATATCACTAAATACCTTTATCATCATAGCGCTATTTTCGTCACCTGTATCACGTACCATATAACACTGTCTTGTTGTTTATCCATCAATTTAGATATAAATATTTGCACCCATCTTCATTTATTAGTTATCTATTAATTAACCATCAATCTCTAATGAACGTTGCATTCTATATTCCTTGTAGAGGCAAACATAGGGGTTTCGGCTGCTCACAAATACTAAATGAATAATAGGTTTTTCAGTTATAGACTAATTACCTCCGAGTTTTGATCGTAGAAAAGTTATGGAAGGATAGTTAAACATTAGTGCATTAATGTAAAAGTAATGTTCCTTCGATTACAAATGTGTTTAAGTCATGATGAGACTCAGATGCTAAAGTCAAACGAACAAGGAAAAGATAATTGAAGAGTTAAAGAAAAAACAGAGATTGGCAAAAAGAGGTATTCATTACTGAGGAAAAGAAAGAGATATAAGGGAAGAGAGAGAGAAGGAGAGAGAGATTGAAAGAGAGGGAGAGAGAGAGAGAGAGAGAGAGAGAGAGAGAGAGAGAGAGAGAGAGAGAGAGAGAGAGAGAGAGAGAGAGAGAGAGAGAGAGAGAGAGAGAGAGAGGGAAGAAGAGGAAGAAGGAAGAGAGAGAGAAGGGAAGTAAGAAGAAGAGAGAGAGAGAAGGGAAGTAAGAAAAGAACAGAAGAGAGAGAGAAAAGGAGAAAGAGAAAGAGAGAAAAAAAAAGAGACAGAAAGAGAGAGAGAGAGACTGAGAGAGAAAAAAAATAAAAAATTAAATAGCACAATAAAGGTCAATCAAGCAATATGAACATAGAGGTAAAGTAATGAGGAAGAAGGAAAAAAAGAGATAACATGAGATTAAGGGAAAAGGGTAAATAAAAACGAAAAGGCAAGAGCAATTCCGAAAATCTTTAGCCAAGTTTATATCGGACGCAAGTGTGTGTGGGTTGAGGGGGGGGGCGAGTGGGGGGGAGGCAAAGGAAGAAGTTAATGACACTGTTGTAAGAAACCGTCGCATGTGGCCCACTCTGCCTCCGAGCGCTACCTCACTGCGTCCGAAAACCCGCTCTGTGGCTGTGTATCATTGCATTTTTTTTTATTAATGATTTGCTCGTTCGTCCTTCGTTGTATAGGGAGCATTAAAAAAAATAATAATGACTATTCACTTGATGAATTAGTGAAACGATTGAATTTCCGCGTTTGCCAAAGTGTTTCAGTTCCATTCCCTTTATCCCGAAAAGCTGAGAGAGATGTTTTGATGCTGGTGGAAGTCGAAGCTAGCGAGAGGTTTGGAATGCGGTGCCGGCCAGCTGGTGTTCTCCGAGCTGCGGACGGCTTACATAACAGGCCACTTTCTCTCTCACCAGCTGTCGCCACCTGCACTCTCGCTCTCTCTCTGTCCTTGGGATTATCTGTCTATGGCTCTCTCCGTCTCGTTATCAGTCCTTTCTGCCTCGTTGTCTGTCTGTATGCCTGTGTTTCTTTTCCCTGAGATAGAGAATGATCGATTTCTAGTGAAGCTTGACGAGAAGAAATTTTAAAGTAACTTTGTGATTATTGTTTTCAATGCCATTGTTATTATTACGATTATCATTTTAGTACAACAGATGGAACCGAACTTCTTCACCAAAGCATCGTAGGAAAAAAAAGACACAATTCTACTTTCTCATTTTCTTATAGCTAAATGTTTCAGAAATTCTACTTTGTTACACCGAAATAAACCAACGCATCAAAATTCTGATCTCGATCCCTCCCCTGTATATTATCCTTTTAGGACATTCTACCTATCACAGTAAAGCTCCAATTTCCGTAATATAAGAATATACTTTCTATAACAAATATATAAACACAGTAATTTAAACACACATAGACACACCCTTTCTTGTGAACTTCTGTAATATTAACATGCCATTTCCCTCGCTTTCAG